AGGTCTAAACCCCATGGATCTGGGACCCCTAATATAATCAATGATCAATGCGCAGAGCACAAAGAAGAAAGCGCAAAGCGCGAAGCACACAGCACAATCACAAAGCACAACGTGCAAAGCACAGGCGCAAAGCAGCAACCATCACAATTACAAAGCACAAGGCGCAATCACAAAGCAAAACGCACAAAGCACAAAGCGCACAGCGCAAAGCACACAGCGCAACTCGCAAAGCGCAACGCGCAAAGCGCAAAGCACAACGCACAAAGCGCAAAGCACGAAGCGCAATCACAAAGCGCAACGCACAAAGAGCACAAAGCACAAACGCAAAGCAGACGCAAAATGCACAAGTGAAAAAGGACAAGCGCAAAGCACCAAGCACACTCACAAAGCAGAAGCGCAAAGCACAAAGCGCGCAGCCCAGTCACAAAGCGCAACGCGCGAAGCACAAAGGACCCAGCGCAATCGCACAGCGCACAGTACAACCACAAAGCGAAAATCACAAATCACAAAACACACAGCACAATCGCAAAGCGTAACGCGCAAAGCACAAAGCGCACAGAACGATCACAAAGCACAACGCGCAAAGCGCAAGGCGAGCAGCGCAGCCACAAAGCACAACGCGCAACACACAAAGCGCACAGCGCGATCACAAAGCGCAAAAGCACAACCGCAAAGCGCAACGCGCAAAGCGCAAGGCGCAAAGGCGCAAGGCGCAGGCGCAAAAAACAAGCCCAATCGCCAAAAGCAGAGCGCGCAGCGCAATCGCAAAGCATAACGCACAAAGCGCAAAGCAAACAGCAAAATCGCAACAAAGCACAACGCGCAAAGCGCAGCGTGCAAAGCGCAACGCGCGCGCACAAAGCACAACGCGCGCAGCGCAATCGCAAGTCACAAAGCGCAAAGCGCATTGCGCAAGCTCAAAGCGCAAGCGCAATCACAAAGCGCAAGCGCGACGCACAAAGCGCGCAGCGCAATCACAAAGCACGACGCAGAAAGCGTAACGCAGACTGCGCAATCACAGGCGCAACGAATACAGCACAAGCGCAAAGCGCAAAACACAAAGCACAAGTGCAAAGCACAAGCGCAACGCGCAAAGCGCGCAGCGCAACCGCAAAGCACAGGCGCAAAGCGCAAGCGCAAAGCACAAGCGCAAGGCACAAAGCGCGCAGCGCAACCACAAAGCCTAGGTGCAAAGCACAGACGCAAAGCGCAAAGCGCGCAGTACACTCACAAAGCACAACGCGCAAAGCGCAGCGCGCGAAGCACAAAGCGCAACGCACAAAGCACAAAGCGCAAAGCGCACAGCGCAAAGCGCAAAGCGCAAGGCGCAAAGCGCAACGCGCGCGCAACGCACACAGCACAATCACAGAGGGCAACGCGCAAAGCACAGGCGCAAAGCAGCAACCATCACAATTACAAGGCACAAGGCGCACTCGCGAAGCAAAGCGCACAAGGCACAAAGCGCGCAGCGCAAAGCGCACAGCGCAACGCACAAAGCACGAAGCGCAAAGCGCACAGCGCAGACCACAAGCGCAAAGCGCAAGGACAGAGAGCGCGAAGCACAAAGCGCGAAGCGCAACGCGCAACGCAGAAAGCACAAATCCCAACGCGCGCAGTGCACTCACAAAGCAGAGGCACAAAGCTTAAAGCGCAAAGCGCAAGCGCAAAGCAACAGCCAGCGCAATCACAAAGCGCAACGCACAAGGCGCAAAGCGCGCAGCGCAAGCACAAAGCGCCGAGCGCAAAGCACCAAGCGCAAAGCGCGAAGCGCGCAGCGCAATCACAAAGCCCAACGTGCAAAGCACAAGCGTTGCGCGTTGCGCGTTGTGATTGTTCTGCGCGCTTTGTGCTTTGTGCGTTGCGCTTTGCGCGTTATGCTTTGCGGTTGTGCTGCGCGCGTTCTTTGCGCTTGTGCTCTGGGATTCTGCTTTGCGCTTTGTGCTTGTGTTTTGCGCTTGTGCTTTGTGCGTCTGCTTCGCGCTTGTGCTTTGTGCTGTGCGCTTTGCGCATTGCGACCGTGCTGCGCGCTTGTGTTTTGCGAGTGCGCTGTGTGCCTTTTGCGGTTTGTCTGTTGCGCTGTGTGGTTGCGCTGTGCGCTTTGCGCTTTGTGCGTTGCGCCTTGTGCTTTGCGCTGTGCGCCTTGCGCATTGCGCGTTCTGCTTTGTGATTGCGCCTTGTGCTTTGTAATTGTGTTTTTTGCGCGCAAAGCGCACGGCGCAGTCACAAAGCGCAACCGCAAAGCACAATACGCAAAGCACAAGGCGCAAAGCCACAAGGCGCACGCGCGAAACCAAGCACAGTTGCAAAGCGCAGAGCGCTCAGCGCAGAGCGCTCAGCGCAATCGCAAAGCGCAACGCACAAAGCGCACAGCGCGCAGCAAAATCACAAGGCGCAAAGCGCAACGCGCAAAGCGCAACGTGCAAGCACAAAGCGCAACGCACAAAGCACAACCACAAAGCACAACGCTCAAAGCGCAATGCACAAGCTCAAAGCGCAAGCACAAAGCGCAAGCGCAGTCGCAAAGCACAACCGCAAAGCACAAGGCGCGCAGCGCAATCACGAAGCACGACGCACAAAGCGCAAAGTAGACGGCGAAGTCGCAAAGGGCAAGGAATAAAGCATTAAGCGCAAAGCAAAAAAACAAAGCGCAAGCGCAAAGCACAAGTGCAAAGCGCAAAGCGCAAGTGCGAAGCGCAAAGTGCACAGCGCATTCACAAAGCACAGGCGCAAAGCAAAAGCGCAACGCGCAAAGCGCGCAGCACACTCACAAAGCACAACGCGCAAGGCGCAGCGCACAAAAGCGCAAAGCGCAAAGCACAAAGCGCAAAGCGCAACGGGCAAAGCACAGCGCGCAAAGCGCAGTGCGCAAAGCGCAACGCACGCAGCGCAATCGCAACGCACAAAGCACGAAGCGCAGTGCGCAATTGCAAAGCGCAGTGCGCAAAGCACAAAGCACGACGCGCAACGCGCGCAGCACATACCACAAGCGCGAAGCGCAAGGACAGAGCGCGAAGGACAAAGCACGAAGCGCAACGCAGAACGCAGAAAGCGCAAAGCGCAAAGCGCAAAGCGCCCAGCGCCCAGCGCACTCGCAACGCAGAAGCGCAAGGCTTAAAGCGCAAAGCAGCGCAACGCACAAAGCGCAAGGCGAAAAGCGCAATCTCAAAGGACCGAGCGCAAAGCGCAAGGCGCAAGGCGCGAAGCGCGCAGCGCAATCACAAAGCGCAATGCACAAAGCACAAGCGCAAAGCAACGACCGTCGCAACTACAAAGCACAAGGCGCAATCGCGAAGCAGAATGCACAACGCACAAAGCCCGCAGCGCCAAGCACGAGGCGCCGCGCAAAGCGCAACGCACAAACTACAAAGCGCGCAGCGCAACCGCAAAGCGCAACGGACAAAGCGCAAAGCGCAAAGCGCAAAGTGCAACGCGCAACGCGCAATCGCAAAGCGCAACGCGCAAAGCGCAACGCCGCGCAGCGCAACCCAAAGCGCAAAGCACGAGCGAAAGCGCAGAGAAAGAACCATCGCAATCACAAAGCGCAAGGCGCAAGCGCCAAGCACACAGCGCAATCACACAGCGCAACGCGCAAAGCGCGCAGCGCAAAGCGCACGCTCAAAGCGCGCGAAGCGCGCAGCGCAATCACAAAGCGCAACGCGCAAGCGCAAAGCACAAAGCGCAAAGCACGCAGCGCAATCACCAAAGACACACAGACACAGACACAGACAGACACACAGACACACACGCACACAGGGACACACACAGACACACACTCACAGACACACACGCACAGACACACACACACAGACACACACACAGACACAGACAGACACACACGCACACAGAGACACAGACAGACACACAGACACACACGCACACAGAGACACACACAGACACACACTCACAGACACACACACACACACACAGACACAGACAGACACACAGACACACACGCACACAGAGACACAGACAGACACACAGACACACACGCGCACAGAGACACACACAGACACACAGACACACACGCGCACAGAGACACACAGACACACACTCACAGACACACACAGAGAGACACACACAGACACAACAGACGCATAGACACACACACACAAACACAGACACACACCCAGAGACACGCACACAAACACACACACACAGACAGGCACAGACACAGACACACAGACACACACACAGACACACACAGACACACACAGACACACACAGACACACACAGACACACACAGACACACACAGACACACGCAGACACACACAGACACACACAGACACACAGACACACCACACAACACACAACGCAACACACAACGCAACACACAACGCACAATACACAACACACAACACACAACACACAACACACAACACACAACACACAACACCCAACACGCAACACACAACACACAACACACAACACACAACACACAACACACAACACGCCACACGCAACACGCAACACACAACACACAACACACAACACACAACGCACAACACACAACACACAACACACAACACACAACACACACCGCACACCGCACACCACACACACACACCACAACACACAACACGCAGACATGCGCATTCCAGACCAAAGAGAGCTCTCATCTTCGATACGATCAACAAGCGTTGTTCCCTTCGGGTCTTGAGCCGGCGCGAAGCAGTGGGGACAGCAGCTGAGCAAGTACCAACTTAAGACAAGGAAGGCGGCGGACTGCAATCATGTCTCATTGTTTGGTCGCGGCTTTGTCATGGCGAGCGTATGGTCCTTATTTAGTAGAGATGACGCGTGTGCAGCCTTGAGCAGGTACAATTGAAACCAAAGCATCAGCACCAAAACCATCATGCATCGTTTAGCCCAGTGTAGCTCTGAAAGAGCTGCATGGTACGTTGGGCAGCACCATCAGACGCTGAAACAATATTTTCACGGTATGTTGGACAAGTAGTATTGAGTCAACTCTTGCTTTCCGATGCCATCACTTGGCTTCAGGTGAAAAGTGCAGCAATATTGAGTATACGACAATCATGGCCACCCAGTTTCGTGTGCTTCCGACCCTGCTGGCTGCGGCCTGCTGTGCCGCGGTCCTGCGCAGCTTCTGGGGCGCAAGCGATGCAGAGCTGACCTTCGTGGCGCCCCAGCAGAGCGTCCACTTGGGCTGCAAGGCTTTGTCCAGCGGTGCCCTGGCCGCGGGCGATGTGCCTGCCATCGTGAGCACGGTTCCTGCTCGGCCCGGCGTGCCAGCCCACTTCAAGGTGACCCTGGAGACTCCTGATGGCACCCAGTCCTTCGACTGCCCTGAGGACGTGTACGTGCTGGATCAGGCTGAGGAGGAGGGCTTGGAGCTGCCTTACTCCTGCCGCGCTGGCTCCTGCTCCAGCTGCGCCGGCAAGGTGCTCTCGGGCAGCATTGATCAGAGCGACCAGGCCTTCTTGGATGATGACCAGATGGGCGAGGGCTTTTGCCTCACCTGCGTGACCTATGCCACATCCGACGTGACCATCAAGACCCACTGCGAGGACGAGCTTTGAGCAGGCAACTGGGTATCCTTTTCCGCGGATGAACTTCTCTTGGTCGTGCCGACTGGCCTCCAGCCAAGTGCCAGACAGACCAAGGATTTTCGGAGCAGCACATACGCAACAAAAAACATCAGCCTCTTGCTTTTCTGGCTTGCAAGTGGCAGAGGCACTATAGACTGATAGTATATTCTTTCTGAGATTGAGGCTGCTTGTGTTTGGTCACAGTGGACATGTCAATAAAACGGTGGATACTTAGATGCCCAGAAGTAGGGAAGGGGTCCCTTGAAGGGGTGGCTGTTGCAACTGCCCGCATTGGGCGACAGGTCACACGCAACCGCTTGGCTCTCCAGTAGATCTGAGGGGGTAGAAGTCACCGGACCTTAAGTCGACAACAATCATGGCCACCCAGTCTCGTGTGCTTCCGACCCTGCTGGCTGCGGCCTGCTGTGCCGCAGTCCTGCGCAGCTTCTGGGGCGCAAGCGATACAGAGCTGACCTTCGTGGCGCCCCAGCAGAGCGTCCACTTGGGCTGCAAGGCTTTGTCCAGCGGTGCCCTGGCCGCGGGCGATGTGCCTGCCATCGTGAGCACGGTTCCTGCTCGGCCCGGCGTGCCAGCCCACTTCAAGGTGACCCTGGAGACTCCTGATGGCACCCAGTCCTTCGACTGCCCTGAGGACGTGTACGTGCTGGATCAGGCTGAGGAGGAGGGCTTGGAGCTGCCTTACTCCTGCCGCGCTGGCTCCTGCTCCAGCTGCGCCGGCAAGGTGCTCTCGGGCAGCATTGATCAGAGCGACCAGGCCTTCTTGGATGATGACCAGATGGGCGAGGGCTTTTGCCTCACTTGCGTGACCTATGCCACATCCGACGTGACCATCAAGACCCACTGCGAGGACGAGCTTTGAGCGGGCAACTAGGTATCCTTTTCCGCAGATTAAGTTCTCTTGGTCGTACCGACTGGCCTCCAGCCAAGTGCCAGTCAGACCGAGGATTTTCGGAGCACGTGCGCAACAAAACACATCAGCCTCTTGCTTTTCTGGCTTGCAAGTGGCAGAAGCACTGTAGACTGATAGTATATTCTTTCTGAGATTGAGGCTGCTTGTGTTTAGTCACAGTGGACATGTCAATAAAACGGTGGATACTTAGATGCCCAGAAGTAGGGAAGGGGTCCCTTGAAGGGGTAGCTGTTGCAACTGCCCGCATTGGGTGACAGGTCACACGCAAACGCTTTGCTCTCCAGTAGATCTGAGGGGGTAGAAGTCACCGGACCTTAAGTCGACAACAATCATGGCCACCCAGTCTCGTGTGCTTCCGACCCTGCTGGCTGCGGCCTGCTGTGCCGCAGTCCTGCGCAGCTTCTGGGGCGCAAGCGATACAGAGCTGACCTTCGTGGCGCCCCAGCAGAGCGTCCACTTGGGCTGCAAGGCTTTGTCCAGCGGTGCCCTGGCCGCGGGCGATGTGCCTGCCATCGTGAGCACGGTTCCTGCTCGGCCCGGCGTGCCAGCCCACTTCAAGGTGACCCTGGAGACTCCTGATGGCACCCAGTCCTTCGACTGCCCTGAGGACGTGTACGTGCTGGATCAGGCTGAGGAGGAGGGCTTGGAGCTGCCTTACTCCTGCCGCGCTGGCTCCTGCTCCAGCTGCGCCGGCAAGGTGCTCTCGGGCAGCATTGATCAGAGCGACCAGGCCTTCTTGGATGATGACCAGATGGGCGAGGGCTTTTGCCTCACTTGCGTGACCTATGCCACATCCGACGTGACCATCAAGACCCACTGCGAGGACGAGCTTTGAGCGGGCAACTAGGTATCCTTTTCCGCAGATTAAGTTCTCTTGGTCGTGCCGACTGGCCTCCAGCCAAGTGCCAGTCAGACCGAGGATTTTCGGCGCATGTAGGAACAAAAATGCAGCACGCCTGATCAGATGCATGAAGCAGCAGAGGTGGAGCATGAGTACGACAGCCCAAGTCGGTGGACGAGCCAATAGAATAGATGTCCAGAACTGCAGAACTGGAGGCGGTGTCGCTTGAAGGGGTGGCTGTTGCAACTCCCCAAACGCTTGGCTCTCCAGTAGATCTGAGGGGGTAGAAGTCACCGGACCTTAAGTCGACAACAATCATGGCCACCCAGTCTCGTGTGCTTCCAACCCTGCTGGCTGCGGCCTGCTGTGCCGCAGTCCTGCGCAGCTTCTGGGGCGCAAGCGATGCAGAGCTGACCTTCTTGGCGCCCCAGCAGAGTGTCCACTTGGGCTGCAAGGCTTTGTCCAGCGGTGCCCTGGCCGCGGGCGATGTGCCTGCCATCGTGAGCACGGTTCCTGCTCGGCCCGGCGTGCCAGCCCACTTCAAGGTGACCCTGGAGACTCCTGATGGCACCCAGTCCTTCGACTGCCCTGAGGACGTGTACGTGCTGGATCAGGCTGAGGAGGAGGGCTTGGAGCTGCCTTACTCCTGCCGCGCTGGCTCCTGCTCCAGCTGCGCCGGCAAGGTGCTCTCGGGCAGCATTGATCAGAGCGACCAGGCCTTCTTGGATGATGACCAGATGGGCGAGGGCTTTTGCCTCACCTGCGTGACCTATGCCACATCCGACGTGACCATCAAGACCCACTGCGAGGACGAGCTTTGAGCTGACAACTAGGTGTCCTTCTCCGCGGATTAAATTCTCTTGGTCGTTCCGGCTGGCCTCCAGCCAAGTGCCAGCTGAAACCACAGTGTTACCCCTGCGTTGCATAAACTGTGCGGCTGATATTGCAGCTTGGGACATGAAACGAGTTGTTCACGTGTTGGGGATTTTGATCGGCCTCGCTTTGGGTATATTGCAGGACCTAGTTTGTACCCTTTTCATGCTTACTTTGCTTACTCTGTGTGATTGGGGCTCATCTCAACGATCTTGCTGTAAACTGGGGAACCGTGGCTTTGTCCAATGTTGCTTTTGGAAAGTCTGATTACACTTAGCTTCCAAAAGAACACATTATAATTGGATTCTGCTGCTTAACGCTTCCTCCACCATGGGCAGCAGCAATCCTGTAAGCCGTGAGGGCCAGTTAGGGGGTTGAGTTCTATGGCTGACTGCCGTGGAAACCGTTACCGCAAGCACAAGTGTTACCTTGCATACGTGGACAGGACAACCAAGCTGTCAGATAGGTGAGTCGACAACAATCATGGCCACTCAGTCTCGTGTGCTTCCGACCCTGCTGGCTGCGGCCTGCTGTGCCGCAGTCCTGCGCAGCTTCTGGGGCGCAAGCGATGCAGAGCTAACCTTCGTGGCGCCCCAGCAGAGCGTCCACTTGGGCTGCCAGGCTTTGTCCAGCGGTACCCTGGCCGCGGGCGATGTGCCTGCCATCGTGAGTACGGTTCCTGCTCGGCCCGGCGTGCCAGCCCACTTCAAGGTGACCCTGGAGACTCCTGATGGCACCCAGTCCTTCGACTGCCCTGAGGACGTGTACGTGCTGGATCAGGCTGAGGAGGAGGGCTTGGAGCTGCCTTACTCCTGCCGCGCTGGCTCCTGCTCCAGCTGCGCCGGCAAGGTGCTCTCGGGCAGCATTGATCAGAGCGACCAGGCCTTCTTGGATGATGACCAGATGGGCGAGGGCTTTTGCCTCACCTGCGTGACCTATGCCACATCCGACGTGACCATCAAGACCCACTGCGAGGACGAGCTGTGAGAAGGCAAATAGACGTAGTTTCCTCCTGTTTTTCTCTTGGCCGTTGCTGCTGGCCTCAAGCCGAGAGCCACGTAGACCGACAACCCCAGCGCATCAGGCGAGAACAATGCAAGATGTATATATATATATATATTATACATATATACTATAGTGTTATTATGAATTACCATCATTATTGTTATTGTCGTTGTATGCGATGCTCTAGTTCATGGTTTGCCCGTCTAGGACTAGGACCATGTTTGTTTTTGTTTACTGGACCAAATAGGACCAGAAACAAGGATCTTTCAACGAGGATTAGGACCAAACTAAGATTAGACGACTTAAGTCTAATAGTGCTCACATGTCAGGTAGAATTTGCTTCAACACGTCTTGTATAATTTCTAAGTATTTCAGTAGACTAGGACCAAACTAGTACTAGACTGTTTAAATTTATCTCTTATAGGTAATTTTAAGTATCATTTCTTCAAATGTGCTGTATTTTTCTAATTACAGTAGACTAGGACCAAACTAGGACTAGCTCTTGTAGCAATTGACTTTCAATTAAGCTTTTCCTCTCAATTATTCCAGAAGACTAGGACCAAGCTGGGACTAGAACCGAGGGTCTCTCAACTGGGACCAGGACCAAACCAGGACTTGAACCAAGGATCCCTCAATTAGGACTCAGACCAAACCCCAAATGAGACCGAAGAAACAGCAATTTAATTTCATGTGCGGTTGAATCAGCAAATGAAATATCATTCGGTTTGATTCGGTTTGACATTTCATTCGGCCATTCGGGGCCCGGGTTCAAGATTCAAGATTCCAGGCCAAGCTTTTTCCGGAGATCTTGAATCTTCAATCTGAATCCGGGCCCCAATGACATTTCATTCGGTTTCATTCGGTTTCATTTGGGTTCATTCGGTTTCATTCGGTTTCATTCGAGGGGATGATTGAAATCAGCGAATGAGCTTTCATTCGGTTTTGTTCGGGGGGCTGGTCTCAACCAGTGAATGAACATTTTATTTGGTGTCATTCCCTTTCATTTGAGAGAATTTTGCAACCCTGGCTATGCCAGCCATGGTGGCAAGATGCGCATGTGGGACGCTGGTAGCATATGTTCGTGTTGTGGTGTTCCAACATGTGGTACAGGGCAAGCTTGGTGTGGAAGTGGAAGGCTTTCATTTGCAGTAGCCGAAGCTTTGCAGAGGTTTCCGCCCTTTTTGCTTTTTCATTTGCAAGTATACGACACAGAACAACGTGCTGGCCCGGTTGGTCTTTTTTGTCGCGAGGCTCCACGTTTGCAATGGGTCGACATTTGCAAGTGCCGAGCCAGTCCGTTTGATGCGATCATAAGTTTCTCACATGTTTGCGACGTAGTCAGTAGCAAGTCACGCATCGCCTTTCTTAAGTGATCATCCAGTGCAACCGCATCAACAGTCATTTGCTGGCAGTACAAGTTTGGTTGCTGGATCACAAAAGACGTTTGAACTAGTTGGAGAGATTCTGTTCAACTGCAATATTTAATGTGTAATGAGGGTGGAGCTACGGCTTTATTGCACCAGAACACTGGTGCCAATGTCTCCATGCCAAGTCTCACTCGAACACAAGGAGAAACGATCCACGTTGGATGTTTCGGAGCAAACCACTTGAACCGGAGATTCAGAAGGGCATCGCAGTGTATGAATGACATGTTTTAGTTCAAGAGCACACCTGTCAAGACAAGCGGAGCCTGAGAGATTATGCCAACATCAATGACCCCACATCATCACTATGACCAGACAGCCAGGGACGAGGGTGTGCCAAGAATCATCCTTTGAACCAGAGCACAAACACATGTCAAGAAGTGCCAACTGCACCCTCAGAAAGGACTTCATCGACTGTGATGATGCTGGGGCTGTGTTTGAGCTGCGAAGCGTGTGACTGAGAATCAGAGAAAAACATGCAGAGACCAACAGGCCAAAAACAAGACAACCCAAAACTGCCAATCGCCAGCCGAAATAGCAGAGACTCGGCGAAGCAAGCGTGATAGTTCAACGCATTCACAGCGTGCCCTCCCGAGGGTATTGTTTAGCAAAGCCAGATTGTGTGCCCAACATGCAGGCCCTGGAAGCCTTGCGTTTTGAACAGGATTCCGGAGGGAGACACCAGCTCCAGACTCAAGAGAGCCCCTTACCGTCGGCGGATTTGACCTTTGCTACTCACTTTCTATTTGCAGTGTCTCTTGCGTTTGGTGGCGGAGAAGTATGTCTCAGTTAGAAAAATGATCATTGTGCCATACAACTTTCACTCCAATTTTGGAGGATGAAGCAGCAACACCCGTCATGATGAGGCTAACAGGTTGCTGTTGCAAAGGAAAACGCGGAGCCATGGGTCGTCCGCTCGTGTTTGGCTCTTGAATAGATCTGAGTGGGTAGAAGTCACCGGACCTTAAGTCAACAACAATCATGGCCACCCAGTCTCGTGTGCTTCCGACCCTGCTGGCTGCGGCCTGCTGTGCCGCAGTCCTGCGCAGCTTCTGGGGTGCAAGCGATGCAGAGCTGACCTTCGTGGCGCCCCAGCAGAGCGTCCACTTGGGCTGCAAGGCTTTGTCCAGCGGTGCCCTGGCCGCGGGCGATGTGCCTGCCATCGTGAGCACGGTTCCTGCTCGGCCCGGCGTGCCAGCCCACTTCAAGGTGACCCTGGAGACTCCTGATGGCACTCAGTCCTTCGACTGCCCTGAGGACGTGTACGTGCTGGATCAGGCTGAGGAGGAGGGCTTGGAGCTGCCTTACTCCTGCCGCGCTGGCTCCTGCTCCAGCTGCGCCGGCAAGGTGCTCTCGGGCAGCATTGATCAGAGCGACCAGGCCTTCTTGGATGATGACCAGATGGGCGAGGGCTTTTGCCTCACCTGCGTGACCTATGCCACATCCGACGTGACCATCAAGACCCACTGCGAGGACGAGCTGTGAGAAGGCAAATAGACGTAGTTTCCTCCTGTTTTTCTCTTGGCCGTTGCTGCTGGCCTCAAGCCGAGAGCCACGTAGACCGACAACCCCAGCGCATCAGGCGAGAAAAAAGCACGAGAGAGAGAGAGAGACCGACCATATATATATATATTTATTTATTTATTTTTTGTATTTATTTGGTCACAACCCCCTTCATGACCCACCCCGGTCTTTCAAAAAGTCATTGGGGACCACAACAAAACCAGGAAAGAGTGAAAACAACATGTGTTTTTCCTGGTGGTCGATCAAATAACAACATAGTCAATCAAACATTGAGAAACAAGTGTTGTTTGATGGTGTCAGCCAAAACATGCATAATTTCCAGGGTTTTTGTATTGTAACACACTTGTTTTTTCTTTTCTGGGAGGTCCCTAAGTGAACAACAATGCATTTCCATGTTATGTTTATGATCCTGCAGAAGACAAATAAGAACTATTTTGGGTGTTTGAGCTTTTTACGTTAAAAGCTATGTGTTTTTCTCCGAGAGAACAAAGAATCCAAGAATCCAAGAAATTTCAGGGATATGTTTGGAGGTCACTACATTTTTGGAATTCTTGGTTTTCCCAAGGGATTATTCTTGCTTTTTGAATTTCTCTAGGATATCTCTTTTTGTTCGATGAACAACCAAGATTTCTTGTGGTTTTCTTTGGTTTTCACGAGAAAGCACAGATTTCATTTTTTAGCAAAAAAAGCAAGGTTTCCTGGGGAACTCAAACAAAAAAAGAATCCTTTGGGAAACCAAGAATCCAAGCTTTTCACAACCAGCGGACTTCTGCCAAAAAAGTATTGGATTCTCAAAGTCCTTCTTTGTCTGGGTTCAAACCCAAGAAAGCTTTGAGAAAACCAACAACACATCGTGCAGAAACCAAAGATTATCCCCGAATGATTGTTTGTTTGGTTTGTTTTCTCGAAATGTGTTGGTTGTTGTGTGTCCATGTTGTTTTGTTCTAGCATCAACAACTTAGAGCACTCGGTGTTATTTGTTTTTGCGCATCAAGCACTAAACAAAAGTTGCTTGGACTGGGCCTTCCGTGAAGAAACTAAACACCCGAGAAGCAACATTTTCGGGGGCTGCAACCAAAGACTATTCCTTAGATATTTGTTTTTTCAAGGCTTTTGCAAAGCTTCTTATGATTCTCCTTATAAAGACCTCTTTATAAGGCAGCAAATAACAATATATATATATATGTAATTTGATGCCGATAGCATTTTCAGGGTATGATTCAATCGTAGTTTGTGTTTTAAAGTGAGAACATAAAGAAGAATTAAACATGTTTTTGAAAAACAACCGTCATTAATATTCATAGGATTCGAACAGGGAACAACTCAATTGGATGTTTTGTTTGCTTTTGGAATGTAAATAAGACATCATGCTTATCATGCCCATCAACGAATTCTAATCAGATAATTATTCCATTTAAATTAAATTCTAATTCAAACACGCATGGCTTTCCGTCGCAAAGCTCATGATAAGGTTTTTCTTAAAGCTCCTGATAAAGCTACCTATGGAATTCCTTAAAAAACTCCTTATTCAAGCTCCTTTTTAAGGCTCCTAAAAAAACTTGTGCAATTCCGTATGCAGCTGCTTGTAAGGCAGGAAAGCAAAACAGACAGATATGCCTGGCAGATGTATTGAAGGAAGGGGAAGTGACAGATGAGATCCTTCTTTGCAACCAAAAAGGTGGGTCATGCAGGGGGTTGTGAGCCCATATTTATATATATATATATGTATATGGAAATTCCCGAGCCAACAGCTCATGTTCGGTCATGTTCTGAGGGTCGCTTGCTTTGTTCCCCTTTGGCCCTCAAACATGTTGAGTTGCGCGTGACTTTGGAGCTCTGCGTATCAAGTATTGGCGGCGTGGCGCAAGGCTCAAGCATATGATGCTCCTTCCGACAGGTTACCAGCCGTGCGGCTCAAAATGCTTACGCTCGCTGGTCATGGGTTATTTCTCGACGAGCAAGCGGTGCAATGGATGCTTCGGAAAATCCTCGTGCTGCGACACTGGGTTTTGAGGGAGTTCCGGAAACATGT